TATAAATACTAAAACTACTACTTAGTTCTTGTACAACTATTCTTAATTTGTGGTTTTTCACTTATCGCGGGGGCAATGAGAACGGAAACCCCTGCGATAAACGAGGGACTACTGTCTTACTAATACTAGTCATAATGCAACATCTCCAAAAAGTTTTGAATAGCTGGAAATATTTGCTTACTTGATGGGGCTATATTAAAATATATTTAAATTTTACAGTATACTTTAAAACATTAAAGGACTGTGCAGGATAGCAGAGTGGATTCTGCAGATGAGGAGCTCATGACAATCAAAGCAGTAACTACAAGTGCCAGATGAGTGTTATCTGTATCAGCTATGAAGAAAGATGTTGTGTATTATTACCGCAGAGTGCCGGATAGTGAATGGACAGCAGTGTTGGTGGTTCTGGTCAGGGTTTCATATCAAGATGACAGCTATGATGTGGATGTGAAACTGGGATGATGTGCTTTGATGCAGTCTGATTGAAAATGTGACAAATCCCAGATGGAGAAACAAAGAAAGGGAAGAAGAAAGGATGGCAGACTAGTACTGTAAGAAAGATCAGGAAGATAAGTTACACAAAAACATGTGCTTCTACCTTTCTTGACTTTCTTAGATGGCTGTTTCTTCTTGATGAATTTGGTCAGTTCTTCTGGGGGTTCCATCTCCCCATCACCAGACACCTCTGGTATTGGTTCAACACCTCCTGGGAGAAAGGTAGATGGAATCCATCAACATGATAACATGTATGACAATAATAAAACATACCTGAGCTTTCCTTTCTTTTTTATTATTACAAGATGCTTTTGTTCTGTATAATAAAGCTTTTTACAGGAACAACACAGAACCAGATAAAGTCAATGCAGGAATCAAATAAATTGTTGGACATTTTGAGTAAGACGTATTACAATTTCACCAAGCAAGTTTTCCAACAGCTCTGAGTCACACCAACAAGCTTAGATAGCAAAGAAAAACAGAAACGCTTTTGTAGTTTTTGTTTACATTGCGAAACTAAAGTGATGATTTCAGACATATTTTCAGTTTAAGTTTTATCCCTTGAGCTGCAAAATCAGTAGGTTGGTAACGTAATGTTTTCAAAAACTAAAAAGAAATGCAACTTTAATTTAATTATAGGTACACGTGATGCACATCTCACACATTTAAGGAGCTTCCAAAACTTTTTCATGTCTTTTTTTAAGGGATTACTGTGAAGAGATCGCATCTATTTGAAAATAAACAACAATTATTTTAATTACTTTTTCCCTAATTTGTCAGCGGTGTAATTTCATATGGCTGCATTTGACACAAAAATCTATCTTTTAAAATTACGTTCACTAAAAGCATAGTTGGAAGTGTTAAATTCCTCAGCTGGATACATCGCAGAGGATTTATAATGCTATGCACATATTTACAACCAAACTGCTTGCATGAAGTTTCAGAAGAAGAATCGTACAGAATGTGTCAAACATGTGGTTTGTAAAGCTCAATGTGTGAGCTTGTGGTGGTGTGTGATGAAATCCCTTTTGGAATCCCACGGATCAGCCTGGATTTAAGGAGCTCCTGAGCCTGATGAATTGGACGCCTTGTCTCTGTCCAACCTCTCCGTCTCCTCCTCCCCTTTTCTCTGTCTCCTCTTCCGGCGTTTTCTTCTCCTCCCTGTCTCCATCTGCTCTTTATCACATCTGTGGAATAATTTGCCTTCTTCTCTATTTGCATTCTGCTATTCACTTTTACGATTTTCTTTCACGCCAGGCTCTCCATCTCTTCTTGCTTTTCTCCTCTCCATCCTCATCTTCTGTTTTTGGTTCATTTTGATTTTCCTAACAGCCTTTTCTCACTGCATCTCCTTTTCTCTGCTCCCTGACGATTTTGCCCAGTTTCATGGTATTTTCCTTTAAATCTCATTGGACACTTGTGCCTTTGTTTGTGTGTGTGTGTGTGTGTGTGTGTGTGTGTGTGTGTGTGTGGTGGGGGGGTGATGTGTATGTACCAGACAGTGAATGCCCGTGCGTCTGCCATCAAGTCTACTTTAAGGTGTCTGAGAATGCGTGCGTGTCTCCATTCCCCCCCACTCCGGCAACATTTGTGTGAGTTCAGATTATCCTAAGCCCTCTCTTATATTTATCCTGGCCTTTTTTAAAGCCAATCTTGTTCTCTTTGGTGAGAGCGCAGCCTGTAGCTTTACATACACACAGCCTTGCTCAATCACAGTTGTTTGAAATGGGATATGCCTCCCTCCTAATTGGGCAGGTGTTTTTCCAAGGCGAGTTGGGTTTTTTTTACGCTGTCCTACAATTTCACAGTGTGTGTGGATGTGTGTTTTAACCCTCATTTTTACGTCAACATCAGGTAAGGAAATTGGCCACCTCTGAAGCAGTTTACGCTGAAACAATAATCCCATCACACACAGAACATCTCCTGCCGCTAACCTCTCATACATTCCTCTTTCTCCATCTCTTCTTGCAAACAGTTGGCATTTCATTGCCAGGTCAAAGTCAGGTTGTGTTTCCGTGTTTCTTTTGGCGATGTCATGGTCTATAGTTAACTATCTGGACTGGTAATCAGTTTTAGACACTTTAATTACAGCCCAAACTTATAATGACAATAAATGCAGTGATGACAGTAATTAATATAATTAACAACAGAACCAGAATCGGTTGTTTTTTAGGGGTTATAACTACTTGTTGAACTGTTACCTATATATAAGATTAAAAAAAAGAATGTGAGATGGTCACAGAACAGTGGAACAGGCTATAGACATATGAATGAATGCGTGAACTTTTAGTATTATTTTCTAATAGTGAAGACATAAAGAAAGTGCTCATTAATTTTGACTGTGTCGAGATGCATGCAGTACTCTTTAAATGAATTTAGTGGTTTTAGTTTCTAAATAAATGAGGGGTTTGGAGCAGTTTTACAGCATCTTTAAAGCAGAAGTAGCCACAGATTTAAATGTCTAGCATAGGTCAAGTGTAAGTGAAAGGATAAAATAGAAGTCCTAAGTCCTAAAGACAAAAAAATAACTTTCAGCAAATTTTAAATGTTAAAACCTTGAAATGACAAGGAATTAAGCAAACGTTATAAATGAAGATGTTATTAACTGAATCTACAGATGAATGAAGCTGAGAATTCAGCTTTTATCATGCATGAATGATATGTTGAACATACATCAAGCTATGGTTGAGACACTCAATTTCTGTTGTGATTTGTTGCAGGTTTCACGCTTAAACTTACAAACAGAAGTACGCCCCTCACATTTTTAAAAATATTTTATTATATCCTTTCAGGGGACAACACTAAATATATGACACTTTGATAGGATACATGCTCCCCATCCACACCTGAGACCTTGTAACAGTAACGAGTTACCTGAGATTGGGGAGGGAAACTGGCTAATTGGGCACAAACTGGACATTTTCACTCAGGACTCTACTCAACTTTGTTGTCAACGATTTAGACATCGTGTTGACTCAGTCTGAGGGGACAGTAAAGTTACCCTGTTACACAAGCTGCACACTGACTACATTACATAGTATCAAAGTGGCAATGTGTGGCACGGGGGATGCACAGCTGGAAAGAGAAAAGCTCTGCAGAGAGTGGTGAAAGCTGCACAGAAGTCTGTTGGAGTCAGCCTCCCCACCATCACAAACATCTACACCTCTAGAGCAGGAAGAGGGCCACCTGCATCATGAAGGACCCCACTCACCCAGCACACACACTTTTTGCCCTGCTCCCCTCAGGCAGGAGGTTGAGGAGCATTAAGTGTAGAACCACTAGACTGAGGAACAGCTTCTACCCTGAGGCTGTTAGACTCATGAATCTCTAACCAGGAAAATCACTATAATGCCACTTTAATTAGTGATTTGTCACTTAATCTGTGCTGCTGATTTCTTGCCTTTAAACTGCTGTATTCATACCCATATGCTCACAACAGACTCATGTTCAGGCTGCTGTTTAATACACCGTATTATATTATATTATTATTGTTTAGCGTATAGCTTAGATCCTTGTGTACAGTTTTTTTAATACTTTGTATTTTTGGTATTTTTAGGTGTAACTGGGACCTTGAGTACACAATATCATTCCACCTCATGTACCATAAGTGATGCGAATGACAATAAAGAACCTCGAACATTGAAAGTGTCATATCTTAAGTGTTGCTCCATGAAAACACAACAAAATATTGACAAAAAATGTGAGGGGTGCACTCACTTTTGTGAGATGCTGTAAATGTTTTAAACCAGTTCAGATTTTTTCCTAATTATTTCTCAAGCCCCTCAGCTCAGACAGAAGAGGAGACCAGACAGTTTATGTAAACACATTGAAGTGCTTGTCAATATCATTGAGATGTTTATATAATCGATTATTGGCATTGTCAACGAGTCTAACAACCAAAATATTGTTGTAAAAGTTAATATTGGACTCAATTATGCTGCTGTGTCAGACCTCAGTGTATTAAGGCATATTCCCACTAATGTAGAGTACAACTTCTGTGCACTATTTTTATTGTATTATATGAGTTTTTATGCTCTATATAATGAGGGGTGGGGGTGTAGCTAAATTTTTGAACAGTATTAAAACTATCTGGCTCACTATACAGTGAATGTGTGGATAATTCAAAAACAATCATAAAGTTAATCAATAATATGTGAAGTTGTGATTTGGGTTTAGTAGCTTTGAGGTTTTTTTTTATTGCAGTGATCATTTATTTTGTCAGTATTTGAAGGTTCAGGTCACCCAGAGTTTAACAGTCCTAATATTAGTGATAGTTCTCTACAGTAAATTTTGTTTGCAGTAACCTTCAGTGGTCTAGCTGCACACAGAGACACCATTGTCATATTTTCCATCCAAAGGTTTAGTCCCATTTGAAACTTTTTGTGAACATTGTTTATTTGACCACCATTTCATGAGAACTCAAAGTTTGTGTGTTCTAGAAAATTCAAAAGTAAAAGTGAAAACAAACACCTGAATTCAAATGTTCCAAACATCCAAAAATATGCGCCGCAAAATTTTGTAAATGATCCTAATCAAATTAAAGTGTAGTAGTAATAGGAGAAGATGAGAAAGCACAAACGTTTTCAATTGAAAATTTACATTTATAACACTCTGGTCTTAATTTTCAGTCAATTTCACATGCTGAAAAGGTACATTGTTTAAAGTGCTCAGCAGTGCAGCGGCTGTAATATTAGTAGTTTAAAGTTCAAACACAAGTCATTTAGTGACAGTTCAGAACATTACAGGTCATTTAAACCAGTGCGTGACAATTTGGGGCCACTTTGGGACAGTTTCGGAGTAACTCTGGACACCCTGGTTGAGGGTAAAACTGCCTCCAATAGACAGCCCAGTCTTGGTCTAAAATGTGGAGACTCCAGTGCATTCCAGCTTTATTCTGGGCTGTGGTTTGAAGATGGGGGTGACACTGTGCTGCGGTGGTTACTGGCAATTTGGCTGTGGGCTTTACGCTTATTCCCTCCTCACTGCACGTCTTCTGTGCCTACACACATACCCACATGGTTTTTAAAACAGTTTTTTTTTTTATCCAAATGTGTGTCGCAGGGCCCTGCTATCTTTTACAGAAACTGTAAGTTAGAAATAATGAGTCACATTTAACCACACAAATGACATTTTCCACATATATTGAACATTGTTCTAAGCGACAGCAGTTTCGGATGTTATCAGTCCATTAAATGGACGTTATTAGTCGTTATCATCCCCATACGCAGCGTTCAGACTGTTCCCTCCTACCTCCTAGTATGTTTAAAGTTACAGTTTTATGGGTGATAATATGCATCGCGGCTCGCGTGTAAAACCGGAAGTGTATTTTAGTTAGCTTTATATAACCCTTTTCCTAAACCTAACCTTACACCTGACCCAGCCCGCTAACCCTAAATTTAACCCCCTTACCCGTGAGCCTTAACCTAACCCTGACCCTAAACCTAACCCCCAGACCTTCACTCTTAACTTACCACGTGCCCATATGATCAGCGATAATAACGTGCCTTTAAACCTACTAGGAGGAAGAGGAGGGGCAGTCTGAACGCTACAATTGGAGATGATAACAACTAATAATGGCCGTTTAATGGATGATAACATCTGAAGCGGGTGCAATAGATCATTTACATTAAAATAAAATTACTAAAATGCACGAAGCTTAGACATAAATCTGTGGCTCTTCATTGAATGATGATCTTTAGGAATGGTGGATTTCCCCCTTAAAATAGATCACTGCTGTTTTATATATAGAATCCTGAAGCAGAACTCTTCAATTTGGAAACGCCACAGAGAGAGAGAACACACACAGCTGGTCAGAATTACACGCTACCCATGACCTACACTTAAACATACTACATGTACTTTCCTGCATTTTCTGTCCTCTCAACTACACTGACACATACTTATATACAGTGCGTGCGTATGTGTGCGCACACGCTCGGCATGTAAAGGCAAAACGCAGCCCATCTTCTCCCCTCTCTAATTCTAAAGTAGATTCAGGCCTCCAACCACAGCTACCAGTGGGACACTGAAAATAGCTGCAACACACACATGCACTATCAGAGGATGTGGAGAAGAAGATGTGTGTGTGTGCATCGACTTTCTGCAAATGGACTGTGAACATAATGAAAATCTCCTGACTTCATTAGGTCCAGAAGAGGAAAACCTCTAAGAAAAAACAACAACAACAAAAAAACACACTGCTTTTGAGGAGAGGAGTGGAGGTTACCTGATGACCATGTCGTAAACAGTCCTGATGTCAGTGTGTGTTTGTTACCTCTACTTCTTAGACTCTCTTTGGATCTCTAGGGTTTGTCAGAGCACTTTACAAAAACTGTGTCCTGCTGCAATCGGTCCATCTTAACCAGCAGTGATAATGTTCTCTAAACGAGTTTAGGTTTGGATAGGCGCTAAAAGGTTTTTTATTTCCAGGAAACTAACAGAAGCACATTAACACACCATAACAAACACTTCCTACCAATAAAGTGGAACTTGATGTGTGGTTCTTGTGTGTGTGTGTGAGTGTGTGAGTGTGTGTATGCCTGCGGTCTTGAGGAGGAAACTGTTTCCGTAAGTGTTGTTGGTAAAGTAAACAAATGTGTGTGTTTACAGGCGGGTAAAAAAGCAACATACGAAAAGGCTGTTTACTGCAGCGCTTCGTGTGTGTGTGTGCACGCACATGCATCTGTCTCTGAATTTTGGAATCAATAAATAGAAACTGGCTGATGAAAAAAAAAAACTAATAAGGTTACTCATTTCCCTTTTACAAACAGTATTTTTTTCTAGAGCCATAAAATTGTAAAAAAAAAATCAAATCAAATCTATAAGATATAAAGGTTCAAGTTATGATCTAACTTTTAGTTTTAACTTCCCTGAAGGAATCTTTCCAAGGGATCAATAATATTTTATCTAATCTAATTGTGAGTAGATAGGCCTTTGTCTTTTCCGACGGGCTAACGAGCTTCCTGCTGCCAAAAACATTTAGCTCCGTCACACCCGGGCGCTCAAAAGCTGCCCAGTACACGCCCCCCTTGGGGGGTGGGTCTTCGTCTTATTATATGATTATTATATTATTGCTATTTTTGGGTGTAACTGGACGTTGAGTACACAATTTCGTTCCAGCTTGTGTACCACATGTGATGCGAATGACAATAGTCACCTTGAACCTTGAATAGGCTAGATATTAATATGTAAACACTCCACTGATCTTACCCTGATGTTTTCACATATTTATTTTCCTGCTCACTATCTTTTTAATAAATGCAATTAATTTAAACTAGGTCTGCGTCTTACATGTGCAAAACAAAATCTCTGGACTACAGTAATTACCGTTCTTTCTGCCGTACATGTCGCATCTATTATGCTTCACCGCAGTCAACCCAAAAATGTGCACCCCTGTTGTGCCAAAAATAGATTGGCTGCCAAATGGTGGCTGCGGGAGCGTGCATGGGAGGACTTTAACAAGAATTTAACAAGATTAACACTTAAAAACAAATGTTTGTTTGCTTGACATTATAGCAAAGGTGTGTCTCAGTCTAACTTTTCCTTAATAAATGCACTTTATTTGTCAAATCAGCTGCGTTTCAAATGTCGATTCGTGGGAGCGGGAGAGCGCAGAGGGACGACTCACTGTGCATTTCGTCGACATTTAACAAGATAACCACCTAAAAACAATTATTTGTTTGCTCGACATTATAGTAAAGGTGTGTCTCAGTCTCACTTTCCCTTAATAAATGCACTTTGATGGTCAAATCAGCTGCATTCTGCCTGGGCAGAACGGTAAAATGCAGCTGATTTGACGTTTGCTCCAGGAGTTCCGGAACGAGACGAAGGTGGCTTGGTATGGCAAGCCAAGTGTCTCATTAATAGCCACTTTTACCTATTAATGAGACACTTGGCTTGCCATATTAGTTGAGGGCCCTTTAGTGGCTGAAAATGGTAGTGTTCAATATTTTCCACGTCAGAATGAATGAAATAGTCAGATCTCTGCCAAAAATTTGGTTATAAATATGGGGAAAAAAATGTATATTAGTTGCTTCGATGTATAAGTCGCAGGAGTTGCTAATTTATGCAAAAAGATGCGACTTATATGAAGAAAAATACAGTATATGGCAATGTGATGCTCACGTATTTAACAATATCTGATGCAAAGACTCATGACCACACAAAGACAGTGTTCATTTGAAGTTGTGTTGAAAAACAGACAACCTATTATGCTCTGTAAACCCGTCTGCAGCAGATGTTCTGGCATAATGTTCTCCATGAGGTTTGCTCATGTACTCATAACGTTTCCTCACAATGGCATAAGAAACAGATGTTCAGTAAGTATTGCTTTAACAGTCTTGACGACCACAAGCGGGCAAGAAAACAAAACAAAACGAAAACATGACATAGGTCACTGCAGATACACCTTCATCTAAATTTTAATGTTTTCTATTCCTTCATCTGTGCACCTCTCCTTCCTACATATTGTCCAACTCACCAGGAGCAGCCAGATTCTGGACCTGAGCAGGGACCTGGACATTAGCCTCAGAGGCCAAGGTGAGGCGTCCTCCTTTACCGATGCGATCACACAGCAGAGTTATGTGCTTCTTGAGGCGTGCGGTGTCTTGGGGAAGGCCCAACACAGGGCCGCCTGTTTGGGCTAGAGATGTGGCCTGATCCTTGGGGCTTCGCGACAAGCAGCTCCGCAGGAGATGAGAGACAGCTGCATCACAGCTCTCCTCCCAACCCTGAGGAGACAGGAACGTGAGGAGAAACGTTACATGTCAGCATTTAAATGTGGTAAACTTTCCACTGTTTTACATCAGAACAATGGACGAATGGAATACCTGAGAATTTTATTTTTATTTTACCTTTCCATTAATCTTGGGTTTTTAATGTTATAGTGTGTAAAAAAAATGCATCCATCCATCACCTTTACACACTTCTTCTGTTTCAGGTCACGGGGTCACTGGTGCCTGTGCCCACCTATCACTGTGTGAGAGGCGGGGGACACCCTGGACAGGTCTCCAGTCCATCACAGGGACACATAGAGACAAACGAGACAAACAACCATCCACTCTCTCACTCACACCTAGAGACAATTTAGAGTTATCAATCAGCCTAACATGCATGTTTTTGGTCTGTGGGAGGAAACTCGAGTACCTGGAGAAAACCCACGCATGCACAGAGAGAACATGCAAACTCTACGCAGAAAGGCCCCCGGCTGGGATTTGAACTGGCGACCCTCTCGCTGAGAGGCAACAGCTCTACTAACTGATCCACTGTGCCGCCCGGAAGGAATAATGGACGGAAAAAAAATAAAATAAAAATACTGACAATAAAGCAAATGGGAAAAATGAAGAGCGAAATAAAAAAATTAAAAAAAAAGTTTAAAAAAGAGATCATAACCCAAACATGATAGTTTAATAATATGTTTGTCATTCAACAAATACATGAGTAAAACATAAAAAAATACAAATATGTGCAATCAGACAACTTCTTTTTGTCAAACAACACTGTCAGACATAAATGTTTTCAAACTCATCTTCCCTCAGACTCATCCAACAGAAATTAGGTTAATAATTAATAATTAATTAATTATGTCAGTGTACGGAAGAAATTAAATGTGCATGCGTGCTTCTTAGGGAAGGCATTGAAGGGGTAAAGGTGTGTTGACAGCTACCCTCCAAAGCAGCCGTCCCTTTCTTACCCCGCTGTCACCACGTCGATAGGTCCCTAATGAACCTTAATGACAGGTAATCGAATCTGTAATGATGGTGGCAGAAAGACACAGACACAGAAAAAGAGGAAGAGAAAGAAAAGAAAAAAGCGAGGGGTTGGAAAATGTCAAGAAAATGAGATGATAACAAAGGAGAAGATATCTGGGACAAGGAGTGGAAAAACGAAGGGAAGAGATAAAGAGTGTATAATAGAAGCGTAGAGGTAGAAAAAATGAAAAAGGAGGTAGAGGAGGAGGAGAGATGGGAGTTGAGTGACCTACTCTTACCACAATACCTCAACAGGTTATCAAATACTTGGAACAAAATAACTGCAGGTTTCTGTGGAAACTTGGCATGCTCTCACACACACACCCACACACACACACACCCACACACACACACGCTCAGAGACACAAATGCTCCACATGCTGCAGAAAACAGCGAAATGTCTTTAAACGTAAACTGCGCACATTCATCCTTGTGAAAGAGGAAAAGGTGGTGGAGGCTACACGTTGGTCATCACTGTATAATTTATTCTTGGATGGCCTTAATAGCTCACCATTAACATTTAGTTTTAAAAGAAACATTGCCAATAATTCAATGATTACCAATCCACGCAACACTTTATTTTAAAAATGCTGACTGTTTCAAGAATATTGGGTCTGATAGGGAAAAAGCACAGATATGATTGTATTACTATTGAAATGCCATGGATAGTTCAGAACCTCATTGAGCTCGAAATGAGACAAATAATAATAAATAAAAGAATTACTCAGTATTTACATCCTCTTCCAGCCTGGGAAAGTCATTTGAGAGGCCGGCGTTACGGCTGCGTGAAAACAATGTCAACCAGTCTGCTTCCAGAAGGAACCAGCATAAACACAAATTCTTGCCTTGGCCAATTCTGAGGGATTCCTTGCAGGGATTTTATTTTTTTATTTTTATTGTCAGAAATATTTACTTTTATATTCTTCAGTTACTTTGATTAACTGTGTGACTTCAAGGTGTTGCAAATTACAAATACAACCAAACACAGTGGTTGTGTAAACAACATTAGTCAAAAGACATAAAGAAAAAATAAGTTCAAATAAAAAGTGATGGTGTAAATAAAGCCATGAGCTCAACTAAAGCTTTAAACAAATGTTCCAACCGCATGATTAACAAAAAGTCTTGTAAATCATGTGCAACACAAAGCAAACACTAAATACTATTTTCAATAGCAAAAGAGTTCCAGATACTTGTACTAGTGCTAAATACCTTTTTAACATTAGTATGTAAAGTTGTGCTAGAATTCTTGATCTACAGCAACTCTGGCACTAAAATGAAGGGTTGCGTGTACGCATAAACAAAGAAGAATTTAAAAACCACATGAGGACAACTGAAAAATAAAATAATGTCAGACAAAAATGATAATTGTTCTCCACTCAGTTGTTGCATGTGCAAGCATGGAAAAGATTGCCGTTACTGAGAATAAACAATGACCAAGTTATGGTTGATGGGCCATCGAAGACACTTCAGTGGACGTTCTGATTGAAATCAGCTGTGCATTGTTCAAATGCAGAGGGCTGTGTTGTGGTTGTCACTTCAAGAACCAGTGAGACATGAAATATAAGACAAGAAATTACATTGGTGTAAGAGATTAAAGGCTTTAAGATGCCAAAACACTGCAAAGTGCACTGGAAACCGTGGTTTCCAGTGTTCATGCACAGTATTTTATAACTTTGGAAAGTCTTCACAGAGGCAACCTTTTGTCTACAGTCTCCCAGAATGGAAAGTAAACAGTGGAAGTATGTTCATAATAAAACACAAACCACAAGGAATGTTTACCGTTGGTGTCGTTGCCAACGCAGCCATTGGTGCCAAATGTTTCTTTATTAACATTTGTGGGGATCTCAAGTCAAGGATAAAAAGAAAGAAAATGGCCAAGCTGTCTGGTTGGGGGAGTAAATCATGTCAAATCAGAATGAATCAGAAATTCTACAGTCAAGTTTTCAGAAAAAAAAATATAGAACTGGTAAAAAACTAAAAGAATAACCAAACGACCTAAACGGGCTTCGGAAAAAAAAACAAAAAAACAAATAAAACATTCAAATTGATGATTGTTCATTCCCAAACGAAAACTGAATCTGCTCAAAATGCTACGCTAAACATGTTTTTTTTTTTTACACTGATAAGTCAAAAGAAATATTTTCAGAGTACAAGGGAGTGGAGATAGGCAACAGGAATAAGTTGAAAATGCAGAATGATGTTTCAAATAATGAATTTGAACGAAGCAGGAGGCTGAAAATAAAGCAGGGGGAGGAAGAAGTGCAGGACTGGGTTAGAAGAAAAACAGCGAAGAAAGAGGGAAAAGGAGTTTTTCTGCTCAACTGCAACTAAATTAGACATTTTGTTTGCTGCTGCACAGACGATGTTCTTCCCTTTTCTCGTCTCCTCTTCCTCCTGTCCGACATTTATATACAAAATATTATTAGTTCATTTGGGAATCCAGCAAAGTACAAAATCATCTCTAGAAAAAATAAATTTTCATCTACACTACCTGAAATACTTTATTCATCCACTCTGATGGCTTCTTTGTTATATCAGAAAAATGGTAATTAATCAGCTGATTTCATGGCACTGACTAAAGTGGATCCAAAGTTTAACCACAGTTATGTCTAACAAGAGGATTTTGTAAATAAAAAAGGAGTACATTGAACAACTTGTCCAGAAAATAATAGGCGACAGCAGACATACAACATATTGTAAAGTAAAAACAATTATTTGACTTTGAAAGTTGCAATAAAGAAAAACTAAAGTTTTTGCTTCTGCTTCACATCTACCTCATCTGTCTTTCTTTTCCTTCTCATTATCTCAGTAACCCTTCTGCCTTTCCTTTAATCGAGCTCCTTGACCTTCTGTCCTGCTCTGCGACTTCACTCATGTTGATGATAATCCAAGGATTAATCCCTTAAAGAAAGTTGTCTGAGAGCAGGACTTGAACTCAGACGGAATGATCCTGACTCATGCTCCATGAACCAAGTAGAATAATCCAACAAAGTTAAATCAGGTCCTCTGGATGGTTTACTTTTTGTTGAAACGTTTTGGCTTTCATCCAAAGGACTTCATCAGTCCGAGGAGCCACAACAAACCCCGTCTTATAAATAGCATCTTCACATAGTGGGTCGACCAGTTTGATGGTAATCAGATGGTTTCTGTAGTCCGCCCAATCCCCCACTGACTTTTCAATATATTGGATTTGCAATTATATATATATATATATATATATATATATATATATATATATATGTGTATTGGATTAAATATATTTTGGATTTTTCTACCTGGATTATTGAGCATGAATCAGGATGTTTTGAACCATTTTGTATTTTATAGTTCTGTTTTAATCTTTTTCTTTTGATGCTTTTAATTAATTTTTCGTGGTTTTTTTGTTTTTTTTTCATTAAATTACCGCTACTGATTTTTATTGTTAAGCACTTTGGTCACAACTGCTGTTTTTAAATGTGGTTTACGAATAAACTTGACTTGACTTTGGCAATGACTGCCTCAAACGAGTCAGTGGGAGAGAGGGCGGACTCCAGAAACCATCTGAGCGCTATCGAACTGGTTGACCCACTATGTGAAGGTGCTGTTTATAAGACTGAGTTTTTTGTAGCTCCTCGGACTGATGAAGTTTTCTGGATGAAACGTTTCAATAAACAGAAACTATCCAGAGGACGTGACTTGGGTCAGATGGAATGATCTCACCTGCACAAAGGTCAAAAGTCAAGACGAGGAGCGTGATGAGGCACAGCTAATCTGACACACCTAAGTATTCACTTAAACTCTCCAGTGATTGTTCTAAATGTGGGGCACTGTACTGGTTATTACTTAGTAATGCTTTACCATTTTAAGCAACTCCCATTTATGAAGCCTGTGAAAATATTTTTTAGACATTTATTTCTTCACGTGAATATTCTTCTTGGGATTACAAAGTTAGTCTAACTAAAACATAACTGATTGAAATAAGCCACAAAAGGGCTGATGACTTAAAAAAAGAAAAACTGCGTCACCACATTTATATCACTGTTGTCATAGCATGGCACCAGAGAGTGTGTTGTGTTTTCTGAAAATAGCCCTTCAGTCCACCTGTTTCACTTGATGTCGTGAACATGAGCCTAATTACTGCTAATTCACTTGATGCCATTAATCCCATTTAAAATAACAAACACACTTTCCCAGTCCCTTAAGGCTTATCAATTGACCTTTTTGGGTTATTTCGGTCTGTAATTATCGTGTGTGTAAGTAGGTGAGTGTGTCTGCATGTGCATATAGGATGTTTTATATTTTGTTGTGTTAATGGGAGTGTGTGCAATGTCGGACTGGGAAAGAGGTCTGAAAATAGACTTACCGGTAAGGAAAGGTTCAGAGAATTGATCAGACATGGAAAAAGTAACTCACACACACAGGCTTGTACAATAATCCTATCAGGACACTGCAGTGACTTTTATTTATTGTGTGTACAACCTAGCCCTTAACTAATCTTTAAAATAACCAAAGTCTACAACTTAATTCTAACCCAAACCAACACCCCTGGAGTGACAATCTGCATCATTAGGACTGAACTTTGATGCAAAACACATTCTTTCAGGAATGCTAAGCCTTAAATATAGAAGGTTTCACATTGGACTTAGCGTGGCCTGACTTTACGGATCAGTTTGTGTGACGCAATGATTATTTTTTCACACAGATTTGATGCTAAACTTGGAAACCACGGAACACACTCCTGGTGTCGAGCTGACAGGTGAATGTGGCGTATAGGAGAGTATAAGGCTGGACAACAATTCGATATCAATATATATCACTATATACTTTTATTCAATAACTGTGATGTGAGTTTTAAGTACATTTACAATATTTTGATATACATTACGCTATGATTAGTGTTTCAATGACGCGTTTCTTTTTCCGAACAGAAAAAGCCATGACACAATTACATAAGTGTGTGGTGACGTACACCACACACAGAGCTCGAGTCCAGAAGGAGTCAGCATTAGCAGGCTAGGCTAAGTTGAGCTAGGCTAATCTCCAACGCGCCCTAAGTTTTCTCTTCAAAATGAGTTCCCACGACCATCAAAATGTGACTGAACAAGCTTTCTCAAGCGAAGAGAAAGCAGATGACATAATTGATAAGAGTGGAAAGACGAATCCGGTGGTGGGTGTGGAAGTGGTCCGGCTATCTAAGATCCATTAAACTGCAGGTTTCAGTGTGCTGCAAAATGTGACGGAGAGTCGTTCCAACTAGCTTGTGAAAAGTCTCCACTCGAAAGAATATGCTGAGAGTCAGAAGATGAAGCACAATAAAAGTTTGAGCCATGTCCCTGAAACATCACCCCATATTGACAAAGGTGAGAGTTTTATGTTTGACGGCGATTTCAAATTTCTTTGAAGGCTAAATACAAATAAAAGGTGTACATTAAGTTATTTGTACAGTTTTTCTGAGGCTTTTATATTGTTTATATGGATATCAGAATAATATTGTTATCAACCGAGATTAAAAAGTATATCATGATAAAAGTTTTTGCCATATCGTCCAGCCATAGGAGAGTGTGCGTTTGAGCTGGGGGTGTGTTTAACAAGCAGGCTGCAGATGTAAGGACAGATGTTAAGACGCTAATGAACTTGTGTGTGTGTACCAGCTGTGGTGTGTCCTGCAGCAGAGGCAGCAACGTGGCCTCCAGGATGGCCGTCTGATTGGGCGTCAGGCCCTGCCACAGCGACAGCAGCAGCACAAGCAGGTGAGTGGCGCTCCGCAAACGGACAAACGCCTGCTCCAGCAGCACCCGGTTCTCCTCTGCAGCCTCTGCCAACGCCATAACCTAAAACAGAGAGATCACAGTGAAAGTTTTTACTAAATATTTCATGAACTGTCACTTTATTTATTTAGTCAAAACACAGCACAAGTGGTTTTCACAGCACCATCATATTTTCTGGCGTATTCTGCTCTGTTCATAAAACTCAAAACATTTAAACGATGTGTTTTACAAGAAAAATGTTTAGACTCAAATTAAAAATACATTTAGGGGGGAAAAAAGTCTCAAACATGTTAGGAAGGCTGTACATTGGTGCCATAGTCAGTGCTACAGTTTTATTGGAAGATCTAAAGTTTGACTCTCAGCCAGTTTCCTTTCTGTGTGGAGTTTGTATGTTGTCCCTCTTCATGTGAAGTCTTTTTTTTTCATTCAACCTTTAATTAGACAGGTTAATTCCATTGAGCCTCGAGGACTCATTTCCAAGAGAGACCTGATTTCAACAAAGAATGAAGACAACAATGAACAACAGCGACAACAACGAGGCATACCAATTTTTTTTTTTTACAAATTAAAATATGATGACAAAACAAGTAGCAAAAACAGTTAGATTATAAGGCAAATGTAGAAAACTAAAAACAGGAACATGTCTGCATTGGTCTTTTTCAGGAGTCCAACAGATTCTTAAAGCCACTTAGAAAGGTCAAGGTCGAGAGCTTCAGGTCTTTTGTAAGATATTCCAGGAAACAGGAGCAGAGTAGGAGAAGGCCCTTTTGCAAAGTTCAGTCCGCACTGAGAGGACACTGCAGGTAATAATGTCCTGAGAGCGCACGGAGGGAAGGAAAGTCACAAATACAAGGTGTTTCCTAGCATTCAGAGTTAGACAGGATCTGTTATTGAAAAAAAAAAAAAAAAGTTTAACTTTCAGTTTCTTTACTAGGTTTTCCACATGGAGCTTAAAAGAGAGATGCGAGTTGACCAAGATACCCAAATATTTATAGGAATCAAGAAACTCAATAAGGACACCATTTGAGGATAAAATCGGAGGTAGAACTGCTGGGACTAACGTCCTGTTTAAAAAAAAGCATCCCTTTGGTTTTATCGGCATTTAAGACATGTTTGAGGTGGAACAAATCAGACTGGATGATGCTAAATGTGGATTGCAAAAGCTGGAAAGCCTTAGCAACTGTTTTAGCTCGACAGTAAACAACTGTGTCATCAGCATAGAAATGTAAGGATGCGTCAAGGATGCTCTGACCTGCATTACCTATGTAGATTGTAAAGAGGATGGGTCCAAAGACTGAGCCTTGTGGTACACCATTGTTGACTGTTAAATAACTGGAGGAAGTACCATTATGTTGAACACATTGTGTCTGATCTGAGAGATAGAGAATCAACCAATGGTGTGATCTGAGAAACCAACTGAGAGCTTATGACACAAGATGTTATGATCCACAGTGTCAAAAGCTTTAGACAGGTCCAGTTCTTGCCTTCAGACCAAAAAGATTAATGTTAGGTGAAGTGGCAATTCTAAACTGAACATAGGTTCGAGTGTGATTGTGCATGGATGTTTGTCTCGTGTGTCTCTGTGGTCACAACCCATTATAATGTGCACCCTGCCTCTTGCTCCACAACCCTGAATAGCAACTATCCGGTACAGGAAACGAACGAGTAAAACGCATCATAAAACGGCAAATGAGCTTCACAGTTTCAAACATGTAGGAAGAAATTTGAAATGCTTTAAATAATGTTAACCTCCTAAAGCAGGGCTATTCAACAAAACTGCTCAGGGGGCCACAGTTTCTGAAAGCCAACAGCTCAGGGGCCGGACATCCAGCAATTAAAATCATTATGCAAATAAACCAAAGTTTACAATGATTTGTTATCTTTTAAATTTGTTTATTTTATTGCACTGAATCATAAATGCAATAAACAGAACCCAAAACCAAAACCCAGAAACAAACAAACAAAATAATACATATATTTTTTTTTTTTATGAAGTGGGCCGGATTGAAGTCACCCATGGGCCGGAAATGGCCCACTGGCCATTAGCTGAATAGCCTTGTCCTAAAGCTTTAAATAAAAAAGACCATGTATGTTAGCCTCTGACTTAAAAAACAAACAAACCCTGATTCAACTCAATTCAATTCAAAAATTCTTTATTAATCCCAAAAGGAAATTAATTATTGTTGTAGCTCATCATCCTGGTTTCATTCAAGAGTTGTTATAGATGCTTATAGCTGATTGTAATGAGTGCAATTTTCTCAACTTTACTAAAATATAAGTATTCTCAAAACAAATGTTTAAACCAAATGATCAATAATCCCTTAGTTCATTCAAAGTTACTTTCTCTTCAACACATCTATTTACACTGAAATCCTCGGCGTGTTGACTACTCAGCCGGTCTAAACAGATTTATGAGTATGAAGCTAGCAGCTCCTTCATTACTGCCAGCTCTGGGGGCTGATTTACTTGTGTTTATGTTAGACTGAGTTCACCTTGAACAACTTCAACAGAACTTGATGTTTTAGAATCAACTTCAGTCATTCATTTTATTCTTAGAAACTCTTCTTGTATGTGTCAAGATTTTAATGAGTTGCCAGCTAGAGCACAAAATAATCTACCAGGTGGAGTTAAAAATAAAATGTTACGTACTACTATTAGACTTTTATGACTATTTATTTATGACTTCACATTGTGCTTTGCTTTTGCAATCTTATAACCAATGGAAAAAAAATTTGAAGTTACCATTTATATCAAATATAGGATGATGCAGATAAGAGTTGTATATTAGTCTAAAGATAAAAAAAGGCCTTGATTCATCTGGGAAACATCTTGGTTTTTGCAGTTTATATGCAAACAGTTATTTCCTTTAAGGAACATTAATGATTTTACGAAGCTACCGAACTTGAAAAAAATAATTAAAAAGAAAACTGAAATGGAATACTTTGGCTGGAACAAAGATCAGTTGAAAATAAAATGTGAGGTCTTCTAGCTTTTATTTAAAATTGAAGCTTGGGAGCAGATAAAAAACAAGCGAACGTATGAATGAGGTGTGGTGAGACCAGGTGAATCTGACCCGCAGCTAAAGGTCAATCCCTCTCCTTCCATCATTGCACCAACAAAGATGTGAAGACGAGTGGAGTGGCGAGGACAAGCGATGACAGAGCAAGACATATGAAAACGAAGACAACAAGAAAGGACAAGTCGGACAAAGAGAAGGAAAGAAACAAGAGAAGAGGGAGGAGGATGAGAGAGATGAACAGACGAGAGTGAAAAAGAAGAGGTGAAAGCAGATCTGGGACTAATGGACGACTGTGTGTTCAGATAAATTAACAATCTGCAGGCCTGAGTGCCAACTCACATCAGAAGATTGTTTGACAAATGGATTTGGTACTTGCCATTTGATCTTAGACAAACAGAAATGAACGACACAAAGAAGTTAAGTGGGTGTGTGTGTGCATCCACTCGTGTGTGTGAGGGTTAAGCAGTAGTTGCCAAAGTAAGCTGTTCTGATTTGCGTAAAACTCAGCTACACACAGGTATAAACTCCAAATCACTTCCCTAACCTAAAAGAATTCCCTTTGGTTGGGGTCGTCTATGGGCACCATTTTACTCACTTTACTAATAAGCCACACACACACACACTGTCCAATCTTTGAATACACAACCCTTATATACAGTATATGGGTAGATTTAGTGACTCATTAGGACTTAATACTTCATTCAGAAATTGCTTCTACTACCTAAAAAGGCCTTTGGATGAAGGATGAAATGTCTCAGCAACAAAAGAAACCATCCAGATGACCTGACTGAACATTGTTGGATTTATACCTGGAATAATGAGCATGAACTTTGCTGTTTTGAACCATTTTGGCATGATCTGCCTTGGGGGAGTTGACGGGGCACAGGGTGGGCCCTGGAGGCCATCTTATCACCAGCAAACTGTTTTTTTTTTTTAGCCATTTGTGGGATTCAGTTTGGTTTGGTGGGCTCCTCAGACTGAAGAAGCCCTTTGGATGAAGGACGAAAGGTCTCAGCGACAAAAGCAACCATCCAGATGACCTGATTGAACATTATTGGATTTGTAATTTGATTTATTTGGTTACTACCTGGGCAGCACGGTGGCGCAACTGGTAGAGCTGCTGCCTCTCAGCGAGAAGGTCCCTGGTTCAAACCCCGGTCCAGGGGCCTTTCTGGATGGAGTTTGCATGTTCTCTCCGTGCATGCGTGGGTTTTCTCCGGGTGCTCCGGTTTCCTCCCACAGACCAAAAACATGCATGTTAGGCTGATTGGTAACTCTAAATTTTCCCTAGGTGTGAGTGAGAGAGTGAATGGTTGTTTGTGTCGTTTGTCTCTATGTGGCCCTGTGATGGACTTGCGACCCGTCCAGGGTGTACTCCGCCCCTCGCACAGTGACTGCTGGACATGGGCACCAGCGACCCCCGTGACCCAAAATGGAATAAACGGGTAAAGATAATGGATGGATGGATGGATGGTTACTACCTTACGGCTTTTTCTGTAAAATGTAAATGTGTACTCTGTAGAATGACAATTCATTCTCTGAATAAACTGTATATGCTGTAAACATGAAGTAAAAAAAACATTTGCTATGTAAAAGATACACTCAATCATCCAGGTAAATAAATCATCAAAAAATTAAATACCTATATTTTTATATCCTCCATTTTACATGTGTAAAGCCAGGCTCTGGGAATTCCACAGCAGACTGGTTTGAAACACATCAATAAGGTGATATTTAATACGGCAGATCCTGTTGGCAGGCCTCAGACTGAAGAAGTATTTCGGATGAAAGACAAAACGGTTCTTCCAAAAAGAAACTGTCCAGGTGACACAATTTAACTTTGTTGTCACTTGTTATGTAGCGTTGTTAGTCTTGTTAACCCCTCAGCACATTTTAAAGCAAATCACATTATTTAATTCTGTCGTACAACATTTCTTACACCAAGATGTGAAGTTTTGAGATATCCTAGATTCTTCTTAAGTGACCTATTTGGATAATATAATTACAGTCAACTAATTTATTGCAACAAAATGCATTTTGTCAA